GTACTTAAGTACAGATACAGTCCAGTGGCGTGCTGATTTCGACTTTCTCCACGCTGGTACCAAGCTACAGTAAACCCCTATGGGTGTCGAATTGAGCGCAATGTTCAAATAAAGCTTCGATTGAATGATTCTCTTGAGTCAGTCGGGCCAGAAAGTCAACAAAGCTCGCCGTTTAGTGAAGCGAGGCGTCAATTAACCCAAACGTTATGAATGAGTGCAGGAAACCGTGTCCGTGTGCAGCATCTGGAGACTATTAGCCCTCATGAAGCGGTGTTAACGCGCGTTCAAATTTATGGCGTCAAAGGCTGGGCCTTCTCTCTGATTGACAGGTAAGAGTGTCGACTGAGAGCTAACGAATGCACTGTCGAATTTCCTTGTTCTTTCTTAGCAATTCTGGACTTCTGTTCATCCACGACGCGTAACAGTTCACTTGCTTATCCCCATGCTAACACCTAGCTGTTACTTTATCTTTTCTCCCAGTATGGATTTTGTATTTATTACATAAGCGTACTTATAAATGTGCTGTCCGACTCAACATTTTTGGCTAATTTGTATGTCACCACCCTTAACCATTTCTTTGCTAACTTTATGGTAGCGCCTTGTCTAGCTTAGCTTTTCTTCCAACACGTAGTATATATTCAGTACAGAGTCGTTTTTTCCAAATAATTCTGTCTTTCCCTTTCTGTGTCTGCAATTTTTAGCAAGCTTCATGGTCACTACAAGCTCACCCCGAGAGCCAAATAAGCTCAAGCTAGTGTGTAAATATGTCTGCGTATCCACTCCTGGTTGATAAATTAGATACAAGACATACTGATATAAAGTTGATGCCGCTACGTTGGTCACATTAGCCCCCTTTTGTGCAAACTAAATCTGTTGGATGATAACGTATCTCCTCCAGGTCCCTGGTGTGTGACGCTTAACTTATAAAAAACTAATTTGGCTGGCTGTATCTGCTCTGATGCACCTCTCCCCCATCAATAAAGGGCTGCAGCAGCACGAAAAATGAGAGCGGAATATTAAACGGCAAATAATCCCCGCGTGTTCTCTCCTCCAGGCTAACAATATGACTTTAAATTGCCGCTATTCATGCTCTGATTTAGAGCCTACTGTATATCCGATTTATTTGACATCTACTTTCGAGCAATTGGGATGTAAACGGCCTAAAAAAAATGTGACAATTTCTTTTTCGTTTGGTATGGAAAGCTTAGTTATTATAGCTTGGATTTAAAATTTACTGTATATCCAATTTATTTGATACCACTTTCAAGCAAATCAGATGTAAGGGCAGATTTAAAAAAAGAACACACATTGCAGTTATGAATTTTATTGTAGCGCTAGTTGTGACGTCTGCTAGCTAAACTGCGACGTTGCATTTTACAGATTACACGATGTCCACCGCTTCTGGAAAATTATTTTAATATGCAGAAAAGTATCATAACGTGTGACTTTCACATCCATTATTTCAATTTTGCACAATCAAGAATAGAACGCCTGCAGTATTTTCCCACTCTAACCGCTTACGCATATTTTTGTGTGGAGTTTGCATGTTCTCCCTGAGCCTGCGTGGGTTTTCTCCGGGTACTCCGGTTTCCTCCCACATTCCAAAAACATGCATGGCAAGCTTATTGAACACTCTAAATTGTCCCTAGGTGTGAGTGTGAGTGCGAATGCTTGTTCGTCTCTGTGTGCCCTGCGATTGGCTGGCAACCGGTTCAGGGTGTCCCGCGCCTACTGCCCGGAGACGGCTGGGATAGGCTCCAGCACTCCCCGCGACCCTTGTGAGGATAAGCGGATCGAAAAATGGATGGATGGATCTATCAGTGTAACAGGTCACAGCACGTTTGGTTTGTTTCACTCAACGGGAGAAATTAATCACACAAGCGCTTTATACGGGCTGGTGTGCATTAAGCCACTCGCGCCCGCTGAGCTTGACGGCCATATTAGGACAACACAGTTGACGCGCCGGTCGATGCTGTTTGTTAACGCGTCAAACTCGGTTGTCATGGCAACTTGTGCGGGGAAACGAGTCGAGCGATTACGCTGTGTGTGTGTGTGTGTGTGTGTGTGTGTGTGTGTGTGTGTGTGTGTGTGTGTGTGTGTGTGTGTATTACAAATTCAGTCTGGTTACCAAATATGGTTCATTCATTGTAACCTTTCTTAGTTGAGTGAAACTTGATGGTTCTGGGGCCACTGCTCCAGTAGGACTCTGAGGTTTCCTGTTTTGAGTGAGTTAGTGGAGCCCAGGTCTCAAAGCAAACATGGTGAAGCGGCGTTTAGCTGTTATGCTGCACGCATATGGAGTAGGTTTTCAACAGAAGTGAAGTCAGCACCAAGTATGAATGCTTTTAAAATGGTGGCCTTTTAAGCATTTTTAAAATCAATTTCACTACACGGGCTTTTATTTTATTTCTGTCCTTAGTTTTTAAGTGTCTAAAAATCTTTTGTTTGTGTTTAAATGTTGTCAGTGTCTGTTATTTTGAGTAGTTTTAAGAAGCAATGATTGTTGTCTTTGCTTTGTGAATGTCTTCAGCTTTGTAAATGCTTTTAGGTAGTGTGCTTTTGATTGTGTGAAGCACATTGTCACCTTGATTATGAAATGTGTCTTATAAAGTTGCATTACCTTGCCTTGCGGCATCCATTTTGGCTCAAGACACCAAACACGTCTCCTTGTCCAGCGGGAATATTTTTCTTTGTTATACTGTACTAATTTTTTTCAACATGTGCCAATTTTATAGCAGTATAGTTTTTTAATCACTGTGTTGGATTTTGTCAGCTTCCTAAAATAATTGCTGAAGTCATATTTTCATTTTTTTCAGGAAAAAAATATTTTAACATCCTGATGATATTGTTTATGGTCAACCTGACTGGCTGCTAGAATTTAAGCAATTCCGCTGCTGAAGACCATTTTGGCTCAAGCTTTTTAAAAAAATGATCTTTTCTTTGTTTATTTATTCAATTAATTATTTTTGGGGGTGGGGGCAGACGAAAAAAAGTAAAGATTTACGATTGTATTGACATTTTTGGGGGGCAGGACAAGCGACCCGTCCATCCCCGCCCCTCCCTCCCTCCTATTGGCGGATGTCACCGATTTTCGTATCTGATTGGACGATACTCCGCTCGTCACCCTTGTAGACGTGTAAACCCGGAACACGCTGCCAAACAGTGCTGCGCTGGCGTTTTGGAAGAAATGAAGACCAAAGTACAATAAAACGCTTTTTGTTTGTCTGTTTTTGATTTTTGGCTGATTCGTGTGTCCCCCCCGCGTTGCAGCTGTTGCCTCCTCTACGGAGCGCCGTAACAATAACTTAAAAGAACACGGACTGTGAGTATCGATGAATGGAAACTGTAGTGGGATGTTTCGCTTTTGAAGTAGTAATTGTGGTGTGTGTATTTGTACAAAATGCAACATTAGGTGCTCCTAACGGCTTTTCGTGCAATTCTCTGTGATTGTCAATGTGTCTCCCACGAGAAGGCATCATTATGCACGCTCCTTGAGTGTGCTCATTTCGTGCGCATATCTCCGTCACACTTTTCCCAATAGAGACCTTAGTTTCCACACTTGGTTTACTTGCTCGCGTCACGATGCTTTTTGAATAATATTTCAAGCACGCAAGTGTGAGGTATTAAAAAAAAAAAATCAAAGGCTTCTTCTCAAATAAATGCTTGTTTCGCCCTCATACCAAATTAACAGGTATAGCCTCACGAAAGTTGACCATACACCGTATTCAAATTAAACACCCACTCGTGTCTGCACTTAATATCAACAAATAAATGCCTCTCCTCAATTAGATATCTTTTTTTTTAGTCTAAAGGGGTGGGGGGAACAAGATAACCTTAGGTGGGCAAGTAGGTGGCAATAATTACCATAATAAGTCCACAAATTGGCACCTCCTCTAAATAAACGTCTACTCCTGTACACAATACCACCTCTTCTCAAATAGATGGCTCCTTTTTTCATCTCAGGAAAAAAATAACAGCGTAGCGCCAATAAGTAACTGCAATAAACCTTTCTGACAGAAAAACCTTTCTTCAAATAGTTTCTTGGCATGATCTACAAATATATCTTATCCACTCTTTCAATATTGTCTTCAAAAATCTGCTATAAGTGCTTCTCCTTCATTTGGTCCCTCATTTTTCATTTTGCCACAGGAAAAATGTGCTTGCCACATCATGTGGCTATAATTGATTAGCTGTGGCCAAATTTTCCCCAAAATAATTACCTTTTTGTAAATAACTGCAGTTGAGTAAAGAAGGAAAAGTGTTCTTCCTTTAATGCTAACACTTGGCTAATGAGAGTCTCCCCGCAGTTTATTTTTAGCCTGGTGGAGCTGTTGAACTAATTAAAGTGGAGCTACTTGCTCGAATGCGACGGTTCCGTCAATGAGATGGATCGCGAGCGTTCTCGCTGACAAAAAGGTGACGGAAATGAATGAAATCCCACCTCGTGGATGTACGGAAATCAACCACATGTCCCATCTTTTGTTTTTCTCACCGAACAACTTGACAATGACACATTTCCTTCCTGTAACCTTGCCAACCAAACAGCAGCATCCATCTCGTTTGAAAATTCAACCCTTGAAACCAGCTTTCGTTTCGGAACACAGAATTTGGTCGGCATGTCAATCATGAGTTGACCAGCAAAAAGATTCTCAAGAAGCCATGACTAAAAACTAATTAACACTTAATTTTAAAAAGCAAAAGTCCAAATTAAATAAAGGCTAACGATAATGAAAAATCTTACCGAGGAGGTGGCTCGGTCCTCGTGGAGTTCATAGGCAAGGTGTGCAGACCAAAAAGAGCAGCACCATGTCCATTGAATTGAAGTCAGAAAAATGGCAAAAATTGTTTAATATTTACTTTACCGTATGTTTTTAAATATTATAGAGTGCTTTTTTTGCATTGAAAATCGAAATATAAATATTTTAATCGTTTTTTTGTTTTTTTTTCGGGGGAAGTTGGAAGGAGTTTAATGGAAATTACATACGCTTCTTTTTTTCTAGGTGACGAAGGAAAATGGGGAGGAAGGACGCCAGCGCCACCAACCTACCAGTCGATCAGTACAGGAAACAAATTGGTGGGTGCCCCCACCCCCACACACACCTCCTTTCAAAAGCATCTTAGACACTAAAACAATCAATCAATCATGCAATAAAAAAAATGTGATTTTTGCAGGGAAGCAGGACTACAAAAAGACAAAGTCGGTTCTGAAGGCCACGCGGCTCAAAGCGGAAGCCAAGAAGAGCTCCTCCGGATTCAGGGTAAGATTACATTTTTTTCAGTCGACGGGGGAAAAAAAGAATTTGAATTCAAGTAAGTACCGAGTCCCTGTGCGCTGTAATTGAGTACAAATATAGCACTATTGTTCCGTTCCGGTGTTTGAATAATTGGTCGCCTTTCCTCGTTAATGTTCCGCCATCCTGTCGCAGGATTAAACGCACGCCTATGATGAAATGGTCATCTTTTTTTAAAAATATGCACCGCCGAGCCACGGCAGGGCCTCATCAAGCACCTCTTTAATCCAATTAGATTAGTCGCTATCTTGAAATATTGATACGGCTCGTGAATTATTCATGTTTGGACAAGAAGACAAGGAGAGTCTTGGATTAAAAATACCTCAGGGACCGAGGGTATTAAGAGTCTCGGAGCTCTTTGGCCTCAAGTGGTGCCATGGCAGCTTCAGCCTGGGTGCGAGGGTGTTAAGGTGAACGCTTTAGCAATTCCACATCTCTCAACAGACCAGGCCCGCCTTTTAAAGATACAGTCGTAGTTACTGCAATGTCGAATGTGTGGACAAAAAAAATAACTAAAATCCTGATGATTAGTTGTCGACGAATCATTTCATTGTTGCGCTTCTGGACCTTTTTAGCATTTTAGTTGAAAAACCACTGGTTTAGAGTTTTGGGGAAGGACTGGTTGGAATCTGGTTTTGGGTTTGTCTCACGATTGGGATTAGAGTATATAGATCAGGGGTGGTGTTTTTGGTTTAGGGCAGGGGTCGGGAACCTATGGCTCGCGAGCCAGATGTGGCTCTTTTGATGATTGCATCTGGCTCGCAGATAAAACAAAATATTCTCGCTTGTTTCATCCATCCATCGATTTTTCACTGCTCACGTTCTGTTCAGGGCTGCAGTTGGCGGCAAGAGCAATTTTAATTGGATGATAGTGGCCTACGTAGGCCGTTGCTGGGGAAACAGGTATACGCCCCCTTTTGAATCAGCCCGCTCGGTCATTAGCTCAAAGCTAATCCTTTGACGAATAAAATGGCGAAAAGAAAAAAAAGATGACGAGTATGGTAGACTTCAGCACGAATGGATCGATGAAACGGTCGAATGTAAAGCGGCACTTTGACACGCGCCATGCTACGTTCGCATCAAAATACCCGGCGGGAGACACCAGAAAGGAAGCATGCAGGCTACTGAGCCGGGTGCAAAGTTAGCCAGCACCAACTCTGCGGATGGATCCAGCAAGCTGACTATAATTCCGCTCGTTTTGCTGGATTTTTAGCAATCGAGAGGAACGGAAAACCATTCACATAAATGGTGAGTATTATCACAAAGTTATTTAAAAGAATACATTCAGAGGCTTATTATACTGACATTTTGTTGAATTCACTTTTAAAATACAGTTCAAAAAGGTTCCCGACCCCTGGATTAGAGTATATGGATCAGAGGGGGCTGTGTTTTTGGTTTAGGGGTTTCTCCATAAATATTCCTTCCCCATCATCCACGCTTGTCCTCCTGTCTTGTGGAGGCAGCTGGCCTCCCTTCGTGTAGCGCCAACCCGACGTAGCGGCATGAGGAGTCAGCAGCTGCCAGGACAGCCTGTCTGGCGGCTGTGCTGCGAGCAGGGCCGTCTGGACCACTTGGCATGGAGAGAGCGAGCGAGAGAGTGTTAGACGGGTGGGACTTTTGCTATCACAACTGTGATCGGTTGGCGGTGACTTGTGTGGAACTTGACGCGTTCTGCGTTCGCAAAAACGCGCATTGCTATCGTAGCTGGAGCTGGACCGAGATATTTGGTGAAATTCGACCAATCTTAACGTTTGTCACGACATGATGACGCGAGGGAAGGAGCACTAGATTCCTGCTTTAACAGGAGGCTGATGAAGACGAATCAGGGAATTAAACACATGCAATGCGGAATCAAAATAAAAATGAAGGCAGTTATTGTCACAGCATTTTGAGGCATCAAGACCGGTTTGCTCCCTCGATGGGTTGCGGACAAAAATCTAAACCAGAATGTTTTGCTGCTGACCTGCAAACTTGAGAGCAACGTTTGATGATGTACATTTTGAGGCATTGCGACCGAACTAGTTTGCTGCCTAAATGTGTTGCCTAACAGGAAATAAATGATACGTAGCACTACCTCCAAACATGAAAGGCTAAAGTGACAACCAAGTTTGGTGTTGGGTAATTTGGCAACACTCAGCCCAACTAGTTTGCTAAAGAAACAGAAATTGGAAGGGAATGATCTCCAGCACTATCTACAAATGTCGTCATGATGAAACAAAAAACGTGATGCTGTACAAATTGATTGTTTGAGACCAAGCTAGCTTGCTGCCTAAACGGGTTGCTGACAAACACGAAACCTTGCTTGAAACTCAAAAAAATGAACGATCTGTAACGCTTCTTCTGAATGTGTGATTCTTACTGCAAATGGTGAGCCACGTTTCAAGTCAGACAATTTTTAGACCGGCCTGAGTTGGCTGCCTTATCGGGAAGTACGTTGTTTTTTTTTTTTTCCTTTTTTAAATATACGTGTCTCTGCAGTGGCTCTGGCCCAGTTTGACTCAAGTTCTTCTCAGCGTTAGAAGCCCTCCAAGCTCTCCATGGCTGATGAGAAAGTTTTTGCTAATGACTCGGGGCGGATAACGAACAAGTGGAGAAAGTCGGAGTGGCCCTCATGAAAGTGGAGCTGATTAAGATGATTTAACGAGCGGCGGCGCCACTCGTCAAGTGGACCGCCACTCGTGTGTGTGAAGGGACAATTAAACAATAGAACCGCAAAAAATAGGTCACTTCTCTTTTTGAGTTGGTGATTGCAGCCAGACTCTTAAATTGAGATTAGCGCTTTTTTTTTTCTTTTCTTTTTCAGGGCCTCTGCAAATCACACCAAATTACACAACGCATTGCTAGTTGTTCTTCACAAAGCGTCGATGCTCAAATAGTAGATCTTTTATTAATTTTGTAAATCTCTAAGCGTGTTCAATGGAATCGTGCAGGCAACCTCATGCTTCCTTTAGTTCGCCATTAGTGGCGCATGACAGCAACTTACTAGAGTCGATTTTGAATGTACCTTTAAAAATACTTTGATGTCACTCTTAACTCTTTGATTCCACAAGACGTACTTTTAAAATTAGGCCCCGCCGACTAAGGACGTACTTGTACGTCTGTCTTTTTTTTTTTGCGTCATAGAGAGGGGAGGGTCTGATGCAATCTGAGAATGAGAATAAGCCGTTTGCATTGTAAAGCATGAAAAAAGTGACCAGTAGGTGGCAGTGGTGCCTCACATGCTTGAAATGCATGCTTTTACAAAAAGATCTTTTTCTTCACTTTTTGCCCAGGAATCGCCATTTTCATTAAACTTAGCCATTTTGTAATGCCGATTGCTGAAGAATGGAAAAATATTTTTTTCTGCTGAAAGAAGAGAGTCCAAACTTTATTTTGGTAGGCTCCATGTTTATACAGCATTAGAACCAAATATTTTGTGGGCCTTGCAAGATCAGTCAAAATTCAGTAAAACGCTGGGATTAAGGGGGTTGCTCCAGTGAAAATGGCTGCGATTGAATGAGTTAAGTGTATGATGTACTTATTTACATCTACTTAAGTATTTCCTATATATATAAGTGCGTATTTACTGAGGTGCTTGTTGTACCTTGCTCATTTATCCTTCGGTCTTGTACATACTTCCCAATTTCCTAACTTTTATTTCGTGTGGGCCAATGGAAGCATCAGCGCAACGCAAGTGACCAACCCGTGACAAAATGTGATTTTTTTCTTCCCAGGACGCCTTTTTGGTCGTCGTGGCCATCTTGTTCTTTGTCGTCTGCGTCTACGCCTTTTTCTACCTCAACCTCAGCAACGAGATTAACATGGACATGGACGTGGACTAAAAGCAGCCGTGGGAGACCTTGTAAACACAAACAGGAAGTGATGTCATCAGTCTTTCAGACTCTTCATTAGGTAGACCCACATAATGCAATCCTAGCAATCCTGCCACCTAGAGGAAGGATATTCAATTGTACGGCCAATATGTCTCAGCAGCAAAAACAAAACAAAAAAAAAAAAAAAGAAAATCGTCAAGTTTTTGTCCCCGTTCGTACATCTACTTGGTTTTTGTACATTAAAAAAGCGTGACTTGGTCATTCGTTTCCTGGAATCGGTGCACATTCATCCAAAGCGTTACGTACATTTTGTAATAAGGGCCCAACAGATGGCAAGGCGTATTTTCGTACGTTTTTATTCGCAACTCAAGGCACTAACTAGCTTTTCGGTGTGCTCGGCAACAAATCCTGTCAAAGCTCGATCTCACTGCGTATGTAAAAGAAGCTAGTTTCCCTCAAATGTATTTTTGCTAATACAGTCATACCTCGGCTTTCGAACGTCTCTGTTCTCGACCAAATCGGTTTTTGACCAGAAAATTCGAGATTTTTACGCCTCGGAATACGACGACGGAATACGAAAATCGGTTTTCGACCAAACTGAGCAAACCCAAATACGCCACTCGAAGTCTCACTTCCTCGCGGAACGTTCATTGTGAGCCGACCTGTTTGTTGTGATTTACGCAAATCTGACGTTTTTTGTTTTTTTTTTAATTTCTCCATCGTGTATTAGCCCCTAATCATGGGCTACTAAAATAGTTTTGTATTTCAAACAAATCGCTTTTCAAACAGCCTTCTGGAACGGATTATGGTCGAAAACCGAGATATGACTGTATTAGTGGCTGTCTGGAACAGATTACTTGGATGCAAATAATTTCAAAGCAGACAAATTGCTTTGGTTTTCAAACTTTAGCTTGACTGTCAAGAATGGATTAATCTGGAAAACCGAGGTTCCGCTGTAAATCATTTTTGTGAAGATTTTAACGGTGGGGAGGTGGGGGTGGGTTGAAAGCATCATTTCCCTCTGCACAATGGTTGGGAACGACTCGCCCTTCCGGTAATTCCGCGGAGTCACGTCCTCTCCGAGGGGGGAAAAAAAATATGTAAATCTCCCTTCATGGCACAGGAGACAATCATTTTTCCCGTCACGTTGCGCCGCACCTCCCCCTTCGCTGCCCCGGCGGAGACGTGCGAGATTGGAATCCGTGCGCGAAATAGTGATGGGCGCGTTTCTACCTGGATTAGCATCGCAAATGCGCTGCGTTCATTTGAATGCGAGAGACGCCACGGCGGCCGGGAGCAGTTATGCCGCTGCGGCGGCGGCCTCTTAAGGACGAGAATGCGTCAATGCTTTCTTTATCCCACCCTGAGCGCTCTCCCATGACCTCCTCACCTCCAGTAAAAGGCTGCATGGCAAAGGAGCCTCTCGGATAAAAGCAGAACGCTTTCATCCGCGCACACCTGCCACTTCGCAACATTAGGATTAGTTGACGTAATAGACCTTCAAGACATCGACCTGGAAGTTTATTGCCGATTCTCCCAAATGCCATCACAGTTGTGACGGAAGCTTTATTTGTATGACTGATTGACACTTGCTGGCCAATTCATTCGGTACAGCCTTCAAAATAACTTCTTGTTTTTTTTTTTAAACACCATGCACTAATTTTGACCCACATTGGGTTCATTTTAACCCCGAAATTCTGTGGCTGTTCTTGGATTGGGGCTACCAATGAGTGTTAAAATACACTGAAAAAGAAATGTCGCAAAATTTCAACTCGTGATTTATGTTTGGAAAAATCATGTGTGAAAAATGTTTTTTTTTTTTTTTGTTTTTTAAAAATAATCTCCCCCAAAATGTTGCTCGTCCTAACATTTTTGTTCTTTTAAAATTCCCACATTTTCCAATGTGGCCCTACCAAATCTTTATATTCCGCCGATTGTCGGGAGAGTGTGATGTGATTTTTTTTTTTCCCCCCCTTTTGTGTTGTCACCACACGAACAAGTTTGTAATACATTTAATAAGAATAAAACACGTTTTTCTTGAAATGGGATTTTTTTTTTCCCTTCCTTCCCCACTTGTACTTTTTCAGCCACATTGTCATTGAAGTTTTTTTTTTTTCTCAATATATTGCGGCACAGTTAAAAGCAGGTGTAGTCATTATCTTCAGCTCTTAAAAGGTAATGGATATTACAACCTATAGCGTCTATTTGCTTTTTATGGCCTTCCCATTATTCTCTTTCACGTCGCTTCATTTCCAAGCCATAAACGTGTAAGTCACGGCTGCTTAAGTATCTCGCGTTAACGTCCTGGCTGCCGTGCGGCTGTCTTGTTTGAGGGCGCCGGCTGGGGCCGCCTTCACGGAAGGACCAAATTGTTTCTTGGTCAAGTGTCCAACACGAAAGCGAGCAATCGATAGGAAATGTTTACATTTGGAATATTTGGTTTGTCAAATGCCGGAAGCACTTTTCGTGTATCGTTAGCTTGTTTGTGTACTCGATTAACTCAATTATAACAATCGACACATTAAATTGTGCTCATAAAGTGAATACACGCGCTATAAACTTTTGAACATTTGTTTGTGCCGTGACGTGCCGCTCCTCTTCCTTATTTGACCTTGGCACATCAACCTAACAGCGGCCCAAACAAAGCAAATCGTCATTACTTTATGCGCATAAACCAAGCGGCGCCAACCTTTCAGTAAATGACACGACAACAAATCAAAGGTGTTTCCGAGTCATTGGAAATGTCGCCAAGAGTCTTTTGCCAGGGGTGATGCTATCGGAGATGTTCCCACGCACGCCACTCGCCCTCGAGAGCGTCCGGGCTGGCTGCCATTTACGTTTTTGTCATGTTTTTCATGTCAACAGAAATGAGCTCACGCTTTATCTCGTCTAGTTTAGAAGTGGGCCAGGTTTGTGTGCACCTCCCATCAATTTGTGTGTGTGTGTGTGTGTGTGTGTGTGTGTGTGTGTGTGTGTGTGTGTGTGTGTGTGTGAGTGAGAGTGTGAGAGAGGTTAGTGTGCCTGCGGCCTCGCTCCAGCGGAGCGCTACCAGTCGTCTCGGCGAGAAGAAGGGTCAGCACCTCCAGGAGCTCATTTAGGCCCCATCTCCTTTTTCACACGCGCGCGCTCACTCGCTTCTGGACTAGTGATGCATGTCTCCGAGTGCTGGCAATGAAAAGACTGCATTTTCTTTTCCCTCACTGCTATGTCAAACTAGAATGTCGTGAAACCTCCTCGGAAAATACTAGTTATTGCTAAAATTCAACCACATGATCGATTAAATAAACAACTCGCACACCTTGGTGATGGTACGCCGTACCGAAGTAAATACAGTGGAACAGCAGTTTTAAAACAAAAAATCGGATGGATTATGTTGGAAAAAAAAGAACTCCACACAGATGTCAACATATAGCATGTAGATAAATATCCATCTATCCGTTTTCTGATCCGCTTATCCTCACAAGGGTCGCGCGGCGCGCTGGAGCCTATCTCAGCCGACATCGGGCATTACGCGGGGTACACCCCGAACTGGTTACCGGCCAATCGCAGTGCACACATAGACGAACAACCATTCGCCCTTGCAGTCGCACTATTTGGAGTGCCCAATCACTCTGCGTGTTTTTTGGAATGTGGTAGGAAACCGGAGTACCCGGAGAAAACCCACACAGGCTCAGGGAGAACATGCAAACTCCACACAGGAAGACCACAGCCGGAATCGAACCCTTGCACCTCTGAACTGTGACCCCGACGCGCTAACCAGTTGACCACCGGGCCGCGATATCATCAACAAACATAGATATTCTGCGGAAAACCCCCCGAACGATACCAAGTCATTAACAAAATTACTTTCAATTTATTCCCTCGTCCTGATGAAACCAGTCGACTTTATGTATTACCCTTGGAGAACAATACATATTTATTGGTGGGGGTGGTTCAACGGTGTGCGTGCGTGCGTGCGTGCGTGTGTGTGTGTGTGTGGGTGAGTGTCATGTGGGTGTCCCTTGCGTATCCCGTGCAGGTGCTCAGCAGGTGTCCTCTCGCAAAGCCGTCGCTCTCCATTTGCTTGTCTGTCCCAGTGTATTTGCACACGTCCACTATTGTGTTGTTCACGGAGGAACACCTGGGCCTCGCTGCACCTGGGCCCGTTGTCCACACACACACACACACACACACACACTGGAACACAGCCAGTTCCTGTTGCGCGATAAAGGCAGGAAGCAGCAGCTGTCACCCAAGCTGACAATTCCCCAGTGAAAATGAAAAAAAAAAATCGGAGTTCGTCTCACCTGAGTGCTTAGGTAGACCTGGAAGCGAGCAAACCTTTTGCTTTCCCGATACTGATAACGACCTCTGAAGGTTTAAACAAAACAAAACAAAAAATTTTTAAATTGCTTTGTCGGTTTCCCTTTTACGGCAACCCGAGATAAATCACCGAAATGTACGTGCACCATTTTTTATTATTATTTTTTTTTTTGACGGACGTCTGGCTAAATAGTACCTGAAGGTTCTCTTGACATCTCAGTCATTTGGTGGAATGTGCTATGGATCTGTTCATCACCTCGGCCTTACGACAATCCAAAATGTTTTTACGGTGACGTGACGAAATCATCGTCGGGTGGGGAAAAATTGCAAGGGCAAATCTGTCCCATCGGTTTCGTGTCGCTGACTTTTACGTCCAGTGGCAACATGAGAACATTGGTTGGGCAGTTCAGGAGGCTTTGGCGCCTCCTTCAGAAAGTGGAACGTTTTCCGTTTGTCACATTTGTCCGCCCATTCCGTTGTCTGTCCGGAGAACCAGAAAAAAACAGACCCGTCTTTCCCTTGGACTAGCTGCAAATCTAAAGCCGAGCGAGCCAAGAAGATGGCTGAGTGAAGGGGAAGAGGGACGGACCGTCGATCATCTTCCCACTTTATTGCACGTCCGAGTTGATTTAAGAATGGAATAACCCGATTCCCATATATTGCCTCGAAGGGCCACTATTCTTGCCTATTTTGATTTTTAGTCTTTATTTTATTCATTTATTCTTATTTTTTTAAATATAAATGATTCCGATCAACTTGGATAGGAATTTCAGCTGCGTTGCCAGATATGCCGTTCGTATCGGCTTGCTCGGATTTTCTCCGCTCCATGTGGTGAAAACAAACAGTTTAGCCGCAAAGCTTCCTTAAACGCGATGCTCGCTCACTTTCCGGAACAGTGACTCGTCAGCAGGAGGAAGATCGCCTTACGGATTGTGACGGAAACAATCTGTTGGACCGGTTTGCCTCGGGTGTTCACGGCGCTCGCCGGTGCGTAACATTCGGCGCCTTCGTGTTGCTCGCCGCGCAATAGATGCAGGTCAGAGATTGTTCGCACCTAACAAACGTTTTGGGGGATTTTACAATCTGTTTACATCATTTATGAGGGGGGGCAAAAAATAATGTCACCGTTGTTTTTTATTTATTTATTATTATTATTTATTTGTTTGTTTTGTTTTTTTAAATAAATATATA